GGAGGGGGGTGGAAGGAGAAAGAGAGTCCAAACAGGTTGACAAGAGGGGCCACGCCATTCCCGGAGCTATGTTTTCTTGAGATAAGTCTGACCTATTCGCAGTCACTCCGGAGCAGTGGCAGGGGCTGGCCTTTACGTCTGATTTGACCTTCTATTGTGGCTCAGACGCTGCAGAAGATTAAGGCAATAATCAAACAACTCCCAAACTTTGAGGCATACCCGGCATGGGGCCCTGGCAATGCACAGAAGCGCAGACTTGCCAACAACTGCCAGGTCCAAAACAGCCCGTCTGGCATATCCTGTCTTGGACCTGTACCAAGCAGATTGAGTTGGTCTAGAGGGGTCTAACTCACAGCATATGCATCCAGTGACTGTTCGTTCCAAAATCCTGCAGGACATCTCTCAAAGAATGAGCCAGCCACCTAGATTGATGGCTTGGAGGCATGTCCAAGTTGCCGTGGCACACGAGCATGCCAGAAGCATCCACCATGCTATTCTTTTCTGCTTAGTTAAGACAAGTAGAGAGTCAGGCTATAAATAATTGGGAAGAGTGGGGGGAGAATGAGAGGAAGGATGACAGAAAGATTGAGATGTGGCAAAGGTACCAAAATCCATGTTTCAAATATCCCTGGTTGGCTGCTTCAGTGGAAAGGACAAGGTCTTGTTGCACCTCGGAGCACATGCTCTTTCTCAAACCAGGGAGCAGTGGTTGTAGAGGGAGTGCATGCGATGAACCCTGTCTCCTTCTGTCCACACAAATAGCTTGGCAGGTTGGCAAGGTGGCGATAAAAAAGGAGATGTGTTGTCCTTCCTCACTTCTGGACCCTAGGGACCAAGACAGTCAGCTCAGCACCCTTCCTCAGAAAAGGGGACAGGAGCAACATAATGCCTTTGGGGAATCCCTTCAGGGGCACTATGAAGAAAACAAGGTGGTTTGCATGTTTTCAATCAGAGGTGTCAACAGGAGATTCTATCCCCTTGTCATGCCTCAGGCTGATGAATGCACGCACTGTGTTAGACAATCCTAACGCAGTGGTGATGGTCCTCTGCCAGCACTGGCAGCACTATCTGCAGTGCAGTGTGTTTGAGAGGTGCAGGCAGCCCTGTCTGGGCAGTGCAAGGCTGTGAGGAGCTACCAGACCCTTCGAAAGGTCCCTGAGGCGCCACGTGGCCAATGCATGGGGAAGGGCCAGTGTTTGGGTGCAGGAGGTAAAGACCTGAAGGTGCTTGACTTCAAGAACCTGAGGCAGCTGGTATTTAAGAGAAAAATAGGGTTGGGGTTTTGTAACAGCAAGAAAGCATCCTTGGATCTTATTTGGGTCCAAGGGCCTGTGAGACATGAGGGCATATCTGTACCATGCTCCCCTGCTTTATCAGGACTTTTCCGTCCTCTGAGGTATCTCAACCCTCCCTCTGCCCAAGATAATGGAGAGGCAGCCAAAATGGCATTTAAACTCTTGGCTCCCTCTACCAACAATTGGACAAAGCAAAGAGGCAGGATGGGAGAAACTGGCTTTCTGGAAACTTCTGCTCGATGGAGAGGGGTCACACCCCCTTCAATAGAGATTGGAGTCGGGGGTCATTTTACATCTGCCTTTAATGAAGAATGGTGGGAAGGGAAATTTAGCAATGAGCTAATTAAATATATATTTAATTTCCACCCTGTTAGCAAGGAAAAGAAAAAAACCCTTGGAGCAGCTGCTAGGTCATTGTTTGAGAATTTAAAAATAAAAGTTTCTTGGCATGGATTTCAGAGATGGAGGCAGTATCTTGCACTGTCATTCCAGAGGGAAAGGGAGAGTGAGCAGAAGGAGGATGAGGCCAGGCAAGGATAGTTCAGCTTGACTACGTGTTGCTCAGGTGTGTCTTGGCTTTTGAGCCTCTCTTCCCTCTGGCTGGTTTAGGTAATCAACATCCTGCCTGGATGGTGAGCCTCACCAGGGACGGATTTACAGGCCCCGCTCCCTGAAAAGCTGGGAATGCCTTGCCATGGGGTTGGCTGAGGCTTGGCAGTGCCCTGAGTGCATCAGTGCGGCTTAACATCCTCAGCCAGGCTCACCTGGGAACACAACCCTTCTGCCCGTTGGCTCTATTCAAGCTCACGTCCAGATACCTGCTTCTGGCCTGAGCTATGTTGTAGGTGTACCTGTGCCTGCCCTTGTGCCCAGCTGTCCCAGTCTCCTGACTGGTTGTCCTAGATGGACTCCAGACCTTAGCTGGTGGTATCCTTGTCTCCAGGATGCAACTTGGACCTACACTGCAGCTTTGTCTCCAGCCCTGTCTCGTGTTGCACCTAACCAGACAGTGCCTTGTCTAGGGCTGCGACTGGAATATGTCCCCATTGTCACCTTGGCGATGCTGATCACCTGTGTTGGAGGCGTGCTTGGCGCTGGGCTGGTGCCCTGTGTGGGGTAGCACCGCTGCTGCTGCTTGCTGGCTGTGAACTGAGATCCAGAGCTGCGCATGAAGGAGCCCGGTCCTTGGGCTGTGCAGGACCTGGCTTCACACCTCATCCTTGGGTGAAGGCCATGGGCCACTGCTTCCCCAGTGACCCTAGGGAACTTCTGCATCCCTTTTTCTGTCTCTGTGTCTCCTCAGTGCTGGCTTCCCACTCCATCTATCAAGGTGTCCTCTTGTGGAGTAAGCTCTGTTCTTGCTGTTCCCTCACACTGGTGACAATCCAGATCATGGTATACGGCCTCATCTCCAGTGGCCTTGATGCTGGTTTTTCCCTTCCCGCCCTGCTGCATGCCTTAGCCTGATGCTTTCTGGCAGCAACTGCACATGGAACAGGAGACCTGAACTTTTCCATTCCCCAGTCTTCGGCACTGCCAATCCCTCCTAGCTGGGAACGGGCATTAAACTCACTCTCCACCAACAAATGGCTCCTGGCTCTCCCTTTCGTTTCTTGAGCTCCATGTGACATGCACGCTGGCTAAGAGGGAAGGAAGGATTGGGGGCATTCCCCTCTGCCCCAATGGGCCCAGCACTGCTCAGTTTCTTTGCCTGCTCACACGACTGTGGCAGCTTTCCTCCTCACTGTGAGCACCTGGTGCTGTTCCTTCCCTCTCCTGTCCCACCCATGGCTCTGGCACACTTGGTGTGCTGTCCTTGGCACACATGAGAGCAGTTACAAAGACCCTGCCCCCAAACTCTTGGCAAAACGGAGATTAATAGTAATAATAAAAATAATAAAAAAAATACTCATAATCCCCCTCCCTGCCAGATTATGCAGCCAGGGAAACAGAGTGCAGCACGGGAGAGTCTGGCTGGCTGGCAAGCTCCACCTGCTCACCAGCTCGGCCACCAACATGGGGAAAGTCGGAGGAGGCTCTTAGGAGACACTGTTCAAGGCTGAAGGAGGGCAGGAGGAGTTTTCCTTGCTTTTGAGGCAGTCCTCCAGCCCATCTGCCTGGATTCCGCTATTGGAAAGGACCTCTGCGTCTCCAGACACCCCACAGACATGCTGGCAAGCTTGAGTCAGCTCCTGGTGTCTATCTTTGAGCAGAAAATACTACTGGTCCATACTCCCCTTTCCACTGACACTGAGCAGTGTGGTCAATATTCACAGTCATGGCTCTTTTTCCTCTCCAGGAGCAAGAAAGGTTTCCCACGTATGCACTTAAGACAAGCCTGTTTGTCAAGAGGTGCTGGCTCCCTCCTCACTGTGGTTATGGGAAGGCTTTTTTGTTTAAAAAGGAAAGCGAATAGATTCCCCTGACACCCAGCCTTAACAGACACGAACCCAAGGGAGTCCCTTGTTTAACCATCAGGAGTACATTGCTGGATAACAGCCCTCCTCTCCCTCCCCTCTTGGCCTTTTTTTCAGCTGGGACAGGCTTGTTTCTGCCTCTGTTTGCTCTTTCTGAGCTGCTTGCTTCTTGCCAGAAGCACTCCGGGAAAGTGGGAGGATGGTGAGGGTCCTACAAGCCAAGGCTTCTGGGCTGGAACAGCACAGGGGCAACGCTGCTCCAAGGACTTGCTGTGGCAGAGCTGGAGGTGAGGATGCCACTAGCAGGTGGAAACAGATGGACAGAATGTTTGGGACACGTCAGGGCCAGGACACGAGGAGACCGAGAGAGGGAGAAAAGTCCCCTCCCTCTTGACCTTCGGTTTGCCTCTCGGCACTGCACATCTATGTGTGTGAATCAAAAAGCGGTGTGTTCTCCTCCTCCCTGCCCTGCAAAAACAGAGACCAGAGTCAAACTTGGAATTCCCCTCTGTCTCATCGCTGAGGAGACAGGGTCTCAGTGGTGATCTCACCCCATCAGAAACCTTTCTGTGCACAAGGCTAGCGAGCAATGAAAAGAGAGGCCGTGGAGGAGGAGGGGAGTCATGGCAGGAAACCAAGAACACATCAGACACTCTAAATTTAGATCTTTTTATTCAGCTCGGACAATATTCCTTGATTTCTCATTGTTCAGGAGAGGGCAGAGGGCAGGGGATCTATTGAATGGCTTTGTCCTGAGAGATGCCACTTTGTCTGGGTATATGGGGGGTGAAGGAGTCGCAGATTGGGTTGGTCTGGCGTGGGTGAGAGGTGTATGTCCCACTGCTCCAGATAGCCTTGGGGTGTGGTGGTGGGTCTCTGACCAGCCCTGGTACCTGCTGCCCTCCACCATCCACAGCCAAGGCAGTGGTAAGGACTGGCACGAGGGCCCCATGGTGAGCACCCATGACCAGTGAGTGGTGCCTTTGCTGTGTGGGGCAGGTCCCCATGCCAGTGGGGTGTCAGATACAGGGCGTGTAGGATAAATACACACCCGCTCTATACGTCTCACTGCCTTTCCGGCAGCACAGCTCAAAGTCTATTTTTAAACTCCCTCCTTTATTACACAGCCCAGCAGATAGCAACGGCCTGCCTCCCTCCATGCTCCCCCTGGGGAGCAGGATGTCCTCCACACCACCCTCCTGGGGATGGGGACAGGACACAGGGTGGGCTATGGGCATGAACCCACCCATCTCCCCCACCACAGGCTCAAGCCATGGAGAGTGCAGGCAAAAGGGGGTGCCCGGCTGCATTAATGCTGCTGCAACCCAGCTGCTGTCTGCACCGGCATATGGGTGGCACAGGGTGTTGCGTCCTGCTGTATCAGTGGGAGGCCAGTTTTGCTCAGGGCTCATGGCTTACGGGAGGTAAGTAAGCAGAGGGTTGGGCGCAGTGTCACCAAATCCACCTGCTGCTGGTGTCAGTGTGACCGAATGGGTGCAGGAGGGAGGACCAGCTCTTGTGGGAAGCGCACACGGGGCTTTCCACCTCGGCCGATGCCCTGACCCCCGCTGATCAGTATTTAGAGTGGGTTTTGCTCTGCGATGTGGGCGGCAATAGCAGGTGTGTGGGGAGGAGAGCTGCTTGCTTTTGGTTTTCGACCCTCATCTTCATTTCATATCATGAGTCATGGTACGTTCTGAGCTGAGTAACTGCTGGGGCTATTTTTACTCCAGCTCAGCAAGCTTCCTTCTCACTGCTGCTGCCACCACCGCCACTCACTGCAGACCCAGGGGCAAAGGATGGGGAGACGGTGAGTGGCAGAGGCCGAGGGCAGGGGAAGCGGTGTTTGGGGTGGTGTCAGTGGAAAGGGGGACCGCTGCCCACCTGATCAATTTGGAAACAAAAATAGTCTATGCCTCTTGAAAAACAACAGATGACCTGCGGTGTGTGGTGTGTTCACACACACACACACACGCACGCACACACGTATATATTTGTTATACTGGGAGAGGGGAAGGGGGGAGGGAGAGAAATTCCTTTCGAGTGCTATTCACCAGTCTGGAAAAATAAAGAAGGAAAGCAGAACATTTTTTCCTTTCATCAAAACAGGAAAGAGAGGGGGAATGGGGTGGGGAGCAGATCCATAGACATAATGGATGGTTGCCAGAGTAAGGAAATTGTTCCCTTTCACCCTAAACTTGGGAATTGTGGGGGGAGAGCTATATGGTGGTGTGAGCAGGGAAGGCTGCATCCCCTCCTCCCCACCTGGCATAGGAACGTGCATGGACACGGGAAAGCACTGGGAAATCGGTCCCCTCAGCTTTGTGTTCTCTCTGAATCCTGCTTGAGCTGCACATCCACAGAGATGTGAAATGCTTTTGCCTTCTCCTTCACCCCAAAGCACGGGGCAGCAAGCTGCGGTGGGCACGAGCCCTCTCCCTCTTTGCTGTTGTCAGGTGCTGTGCTCTGCCCTCTGCATGCATCTCGTTCCCCTTCCCCATCCTCTCCTTTCTGCCAGGTTTCTGCCAGGAACGGGTGAGATGAAGGAGGTGGTGAGGGGCTGGGGGAATCCCTCCACCAGAGAAAGACAGGCAGAGGAGGGGGTTCCTGGAGGAAGCCTGGCAAGGTGCCACTGAGCACCTGCTCGCAGGGTGACACCTTCCCTTTCCCCTGGAGCCAGTTGCTCTGTGAGGGCTTTACTCATCCTTGGAAAGCATTTTCCCTGCCATCGCCAGGGGCAAGAAGGTGAATTATGCAAGCCCTGGGTACCCCGAGGCTCTGCCTTTCTTCAGCACCAAATATAAACACCAGGTTCCTTGACTGTCTCTGTCTCCTTCCTTTGGCCTCTCTTCTCCTTTCTCCTTTCTTCCTCTGTTAGACCTAACTCAGTTGTTAGGGCAGCTCCCATGGCAGCCGCCTCTGCGGGAAATGGTGCAAAGTGCCGCGTAAGCTGTATATGATGACTCTGTTCTGATCGCTCGAGTCAGGATAAACCTCATACAAACAGGAGATGTGGCATAAAAACGATGCGCCCACAGAACGGGCCTCCTGGCGTAAACTAGGCATACAACTTACTCTAGGTTCTTCATTCCGGTGTCTCGGCTGCTCTCTTCCATTGACGGCTGCGGCAGCCCCCCAGAGTAGGCGTTAGGGATTGCTCATTGTTCTCCTGAATGTAGAGACCAGAGCGGGAGCAACACCTAAGTTAGGTACCTCGAGTGGGCGGTCTGACTACACGCTGGCTGTCAACACCTCCTAATTTCTTTCATTGATTGTTTTTCAAACTAGGGCTCATCATGGAGAGGCTGAGACATCTCAGCTGGTTAGACTGAGTCTTGCTTTCCATTGCCAGTCCTGTTTTCTTCCTGCTGTTTCACAATTCCCTCCCCTTACTAAAATAGGTAAAAAAAGATATCACCCTTCACATCATACCGCTGTGGATGGTGGCCCATAGATCATTTTTTCCACTGACACGAGGTGAGGGGAGAGCAGACTTGCAGCAAGGAACTGCCTATTGTCCTCAGACACGTGTTGCCCTCCTCCCTAGTGATAAGAAAATAACCGAGGAGATGAGTTCAGCTGTTTGCAGGTTAGAAAGCAGTAGTGGTGATTAAAGTGTTTTAATAAGAAACCCTCCTGCAGGCTCTTATGAAATCTCTGCTTTTGTTGTGGTTTGTCTGTGGGGCCACTGCCAGCTAGCACAGTTGTGACTGGACCTCGTCAAGTCTGTGCTGTAACAGGATATAGTTATGGTCCAGCAGCTTCATGTAGCCTTGAAATACCTTCCCACCATATGCAGTGGCAGTTTCAAACTCTTTTCCTGTGATATCTGGGACACTGATAGCCTCATTGGCCTCCACAGCCACCCCACAGGCCAGTAAGGGGAAGGTAAGAGTTGTCCCATTGGATTTAGGGGTTCGTAGGATAAATGACAAGGTCATTTCACGACAGCAAGGTAATCCAAGGAGCGCCCAGCCAGCTCAAGGCACAGCAGTTTAAAGTGCTCGTGCCCCTGTTGAACTCAATGTCAATGAGACTGGCCCAGCCTTTAGTCAGTCTAAAGACCTCACTAGAGAAAAAGTCTGTCCCTGTCTTAAAAGCAGAGAGAGTAAGGAAAAGCAACTGAAACCTGAGTGGCTTGAATATCATTTTGCTGTATTTCCAGGCAGGGTCATAGGTAGCTGATTAGTCAAATTCCAAACATCCTCTTCCTTGCTGTCTGGAGGTTCAACAGGGATTAGCTTTTTGTTTCTGATGTCAAGCTTCTAAAAACTGCCCAGCATCATCCACATGAAAATAAATAACTCTATTTCTATCTCATTTTGCATGTAACATAGCCGGATATTTAAAAAATATAAACCCACACGTAACATCCCCAAAACCAGGCCCTGCAGCAGCTCATGCTGCTTTTGAGCAAGAAATCTGCAGCAGTCCCTGCTAGCTTACTGCGGACTCCTTCTCCTCTCTGCTGGTGATATCTCTCCCTGCTGAAGAGTTTGATCAACCTCCCCACACACGGGCTGCTCTGTCCTGGCCAGGGAGCCACTGTGGTGTGGGGGACACCCTACACAGCTTGAACAAGGTGGCATGAAAGTGGTAGATCCATGCCAGGTTATTCAAGGGCAGAGATCCTCAAAGGGCACATGAGCCTCCGTTTACCTGTTACGAACTTTGAACATGTAATGGTGTCATGGACATTCAGGACCTTGCCGCCCTCAACTCCATCTACACAAACAGAAGGACTTCCAGAAGCTGGTTTGGCCATCCCAAATCCTCAGCTTTCCCCCCACTGATTGCCAGGGAGCCCAGGGCTACATCATTCCTTTGGCTGGTGCCATCTGGAGCAAGCTGGGATGAACCCAGGCCCTTTTATAACTTTTTTTTTGGAACCTTCTACTGATTCAGAAGGAGTTTCAGCACCCAGGTAGACATTAGGGTAGTCAGGGTTTGGAGCCAAATTGTCATCATGTGAAATGGCTGGTACACTGCTGGCGGGCCAGGATGGAGAATGAGGGGAATTCTAAGCACCCTGAGGAATTTGGGGTGGGACAGGGCTAGCATGGCTGGAGCATCTAAGATAAAGTCCTGTTAAGGTCTCTGGAGGTGGAAAAAAGCAAAGGTATGTGTTGCATTCCCACTTCTTCCCACTTGAGCTCTAAAACTGGGACAGAGCCTGACTTCAGGGTCAGTGTGAGGGACTCCCAGGACACTCCTTATCTCTGCACTCATGCACCTCATACGGCCCAGGCTTTGGAGCTAGCATGACTCTGACAAACTCCACACCTGCGGGGAAATCTGGGCTCTCTTCTTCTTGGCCAGGGTGAATTGCAGTGATCCCCTGCAACCCAAGAGCACCTTGACATGCTGCCCTACCCTTCGTTTAGTGCTTGAGTTGCCTGTGTCCGTGATAGGAGGAGCAGAGGAGCAATGCTATTCTAAGAAAGCTACGGAGGACACCCAGACCTCCTTGTGTCCCTGTGCCTCCTGACCAACAGCCACATCCGTGACCCTGAAGTCAGGCTCAGGGGTGTAGCTAGCCAAACTGGGAGGTGTTGTCAGATGCATACTACAGAAGAGCATTTGGTGCACTGCCTGCTGCTCGGTTATGGTAGCTGGTCCTCATACCTGGACATATGGTCCTCATACACTTTGGACAGTGCACACAAGAGCACTGGTGCGAGACTGTGTGCTTTAGAGAGGGTTGGCTGCATGAGGCTCACAGGCACCTAGGTAGTCTAAAGGGAGCATGTGTGATGCTGTGAGATGAGGCCACTGGTATGCCAGTGGGTGTATATATGTGAGAAAGGAAGAGAGAGGGGGAGAGTGAAGGAGAACACATGGATGCCCAGGGATGTGTGAATGAGACAAAATTTGCACGTAGCTGTGTATGCGAGCGGCTTGACTAGAAGCATGTGCGTAGCATAGAAAAAGCAGGGAAGATGCTTGGGATTCAGAGCAAACGCCTGCTGAGTGCCTGTGGTGCATGACGGTGCAGGAATGTATTGGTGGATATGAGCCTGCACAAAGATGGTGCAGAAACCCCTCCTGGTTGTGCCGGGAGTGTGCTTTGCAAGTGTGCAACTCCATGCCAAGAGGTCACCTGTACGTACATGACAGGGCGTGCGCACTGGTGTTTTTTTCCATAGGATATGACTGTTTCTTGAACTCACCTGTTAGCAGCCTTCCTCTCCACACCTCTCTCCCCCCACTCTCCAGCAGATATCTGCTTGCTTAATTTCCCTTCAGACGTTTATTATATTGTGGAGATAATCACGCTGCAAAATACCTCCCAGTGCCATGAGCACCACCAGCTTGTCTTGTAGCAACGTTTAAATTTCTCTGCCCTTTCTTTTCTTTCCCCCTGCACACAAAGAGATGTTAAAGTATTAAAGCCATTTCTCTCCCTGGAGGTAGTGGTGCAGCAGGGCAGGGAAGAAGGCGAGTGGAGCTGAGAGAAATGCTCCACTCGCCTTGAAACAGTGAGAATCCGAGGCCAAAAGAATAACAAACTACCATGCCGGGAACTCCTCTCTTCTTATCTCTTCCTAAGGAGGAAGGAATTTCTGTCCCCATTCCTCACGCGATGTTAAAGCCACATTACACGGGTTATTGCCACATTAGTCATTTTTAATTAATTTATCATTTAAATTAACACACTTTTTATTTTGTCAGCAATGGGCTGCTACTCCCTCACTAGATTTTCGCCTTGATAGCCAGCCAAGAGGAGGATGGCAAGTTATGCTCCACCCATCTTCTCTCCTTATAAAAGGAGCAGCCCCGAGTGCCAGCTTAGTCTCTCTTGCAGCTCGCACACTAAAATAAAGACCCATCGGCTCACTCGCCTCCCCGTCAATTTTACCTTTTCTGCTTCTTTTCCTTTTTTATTGTCTTGTCTTGTTGCAACAGAGCACGGGAGGCAGCAGCAGCTCCGCTCTGAGGCTTGTCAAGGCTCAGTGCCTGCACATACACACACACGCAACCCAGGGAGAAAACATTTGCTCTCACCTGTCTCCAAACCCAAAGCAAACCTCACGTCCAAGCGAACGGCCAACACTTTGAACGAGAAGGCATCCAAGCCAGTATTTTAATGTAAGGAGAAGAAATTCAATGTATGCCAGCAACTTCTCACTAAAAAGCAAGTGTGCGCGAGGAAGAAAAGGAGCATTTTAAGAGAAGGACACCTTAAGGAAGATTTAATTTTTTTTGGATTTCGCACTAAACTTTGGAAAGTTTTTTTTCTTTTTCTTAAATTAGTATTTTGTGTATTTTTTCTCTAAGAACATTGAGCCATTGTTGCCTGCATGTAAAATCTTTTACATACATACATACATTTTAAAAAGCAAGACAACCAAGAGGAAAACCAGCATGTGGACCACCTAGCAGAAGGCAATACTGAAGCATCCCTCGCGGCAAGGGGGACGCGGACTCTGGATGCGGATCATTTGGAGGGACTGCATTTCTCTTCCACCGGGCTTATGAGATAGCACCGAGGCAGGCGAGTCACCGAGAATCACTTCTGCCTCCCCCCTCCAGCACCACCACCTCCTCTTCCAAGGGCGCCCGCAACTCTCCCACCAGCAGCAGCCCGGCTCGGAGGGGAGATGGGAACGCGCGGCGCCCTCGATGCCTGAGGCCGGGCGGCTCTGCGGGAAGCGCTTCCCTCCCGGGGCTCCCCGTCCATGTGCCCGCAGCCGGCGGGGCCTGAAGTCGGCATGCATCTCGGCGTGGTCTTCGCGTTCATCCTCTCCCTGCCCCTGGCCCGCCTGGAGGTGAGTTTCTATCGCGGGCAGCGGGCGGTGCTGCCGAGCCGCCAGCGCCGGGGCTGGGTGGGGGGAGACCGGCGGCGGCGGCGCCTCCCGACCCGCAGGTGCGGCGGGGTGAAGCCCCGGCGGGGAGCGGAGCTGCGCGGCGGGGACTCGGAGGCCGGGCGGGCGGCGGCTGCGTGCCCCGCGCTGAGGGAAGGGCTGCTGAGGGGCGCGGGCGCGCTAATGGCGGGCAGAGCCGGCCCTGAGGGGAGCGACCGTTGGGCCGGTTTCCAGCCCCGCGGCGGCGCTGCCCCCTCAGGAGGAGCGGTGTCCCCTCAGGACGTGGAAATACGCCCACCCCGTGCATGTCCCCCCACACTGGAGGGGAAGGGGAGGCCGGGTCCCTGGGTGCTGCCGGGGAGCCTCCTGCCCCTCAAGCGGCTTCCCCCGGGGCTGTCACTCCAGGGCACGGTGCCCGCCGGTGGCTCCGCTGCCATCGCGCCTCTCACCTCCTCGGGTTGTTTTGTGAGGCAGGGACCGAGTCCCAGTTGTCACCATGTGAAACCCATTGCCGAGGGGCTGATGGAGAAAGGGGCGAGGTGGGGGACGGGGTGGCTACAGACAACTGACTCGCGGGTGGCATGGTTACGCCGTAAGGCGTGTGTCAAGCTGTGGCCATGGAAAGAGGCAGGAGATGGGTGTCTCTGCTGCCTGTGCTTGCACAGTCACGCCAGCATCTTGTCCTGCAGCCCTCCTGCATGCTCTGTTCAGGAGGGAGCTGGGCACAGGGTGGGGACCAGGTGGTGGATTTGGCTGATGGATGTGCACCCCAACCCTCTTTGGTCTCCCAGTGTGGAAGTCAAAGCCTCACCCTGAGCCATGGTTGAGGAAAAGGAGCCCCAAGACCCCCAGTCCTGTGCTGTCACATTTCATTGCCCGATTGCTTGCAGTTTGGAGGGATCAGAAAGCCCCGATCATACAGCTCTACCCAAGGTGGTGAAACTATGGGTTAGATCTGCAGCTTGGGGGTTGTCAAGGGCAGGAAAATACCTTTCACTAAAACTTTCCTCCCTTTGCATCATTTCTTTCTCTTCCTTCCTCATTTTCGGGCAGGGTGGGTGGGTGCAGCCCTCTGTGGGGTGGCAGGGAAGGGATTGGGTGTGAAGCATCGTATCACCTCCTTATGGGCCCATTTTGCCCTTGCCCAAGCCACAAAGGGAAGCAGTTAGAGCTGTGGGCTGCCCAGTGGTTATGTTTGTTTTGGGCAGTGGATGGTATTTCCTCTGTGGGTGGCTCAGATCTCTTTCTCCCATGCAGCATGAAACATCAGCTATGGTTGGTGCTGAGGAAGGGTGAACATGGAAGTGCCTGATCCCAGGGGGCTGTTTTTCTGTGCTATGATTACATTGAAGGACTGCACAGCTCTATGAGAGCCTAGTAGGGTTATAGTTTGGGAATTCTGGCTGTAGGTTCCTTGGGAGGGATCATGATATTCAGCATTTTATAACCGGAGAACAGAGAAGGTTTCTGCTTGGGTAGATGCTTCTGCCTGCAATCAGTCCCTACATCTACTCTGAAGGTAACGCATTGCACCCTCTGTACCAGATGCATACATGACTTCTACTGGGAGGCTGACCCATAGGCATCCTCTGCATAGGGCTTGCACCTCCTCTAGTGCCATGCTGGAGAAGGTGCATGGGGAACAGTAGCTCCCCCTAAGCAGCAGCGGCCTGAGCCAAGAGATGGAGCCTCCTGAGTCCCTCTCCCTCTTCGATCACACCCTTTTGGAGCTGCAGGGCCCTGGAGCTCTTCCAGCCGGAGGGAGTACAAGCCTCAGCGGGAAGGTATTTGCCAGTTGGGAAGTGAGGATGCTAAACCAATTTGCATTTGCCCCACGGGCTCTAATAGTTGCCTTGCAACATTTACAGAGCTGGGCTGAGCCCAGTGTGTTGTGCTGGGGTGAAGCCCCACTGGCAGGGCTTTCTGGAATTCCCGAGGAATGGGGTGCGGCTGGGTGCTTGGTTATAACCTCAGCCCAGCTCCCCATCACGTCTTCCCGGTGCAACGCTCTGTGGCACTTCCCGATTCTTCCTAGCATAAGGCTGTGACAAGGAAAAAGCAGTGTAAGCCCGGATGGATGACATGTGTGGGGTGAGCTCCTGGAAGGAGCCGGGAGAGTCCTCCCTGCCTCCCTCTCACTGTCAGCTGATGCACAGCAGCAGGAGGGAATGGCAGTGGTTTCTGTGCTGTCTCCAGTGCTGCTGGTAGACAACGGGCCCTGGAGGTGGAAATGCCTCCAGCCCTCGCAGGGGAGGTGCTGGGGGTGTGTGGAGGAGCAGGGTGGAGCAGCGGAGCCCCCTTTGAAATGGGAAAAGGGTGGGTAGGCCTGGCTGTGTTCTAGCATCGTGGGCAAGATCAAACATTAAGTTTGATTCTTCTAAGGGAGGAAGACGTAAGGCACCGTCCCATGTGGAAGGGGCTTATGTGAGGAGGGTTATGCCTCTATCCGGTCGATGTCAGAGTGCCCCTGTAGCTGAGAGTGGTGATGGAAGGATGTAAGCCCTGTGCCAGGGGAGCAAGAGCCTCTGGGCTTCAGCAGGCTGATGGCAGGTACTGCCAGTCCTGCCATGGAATGCAGTGGAGTCTCCCCTCAGGGTCCTCACATCAGCTTCAGAGGGAATTAAAAAATGCTGTTTGTTTGGGTTGGGGTTTTTTGCCTGGCTGATCACCCTGCTGCCGAGATCCCTTACCACGGTCAGTGTGGAGGTGCTTGGGAAAGTCCTTCTCCGCTGGGCAGAGGAGACTGGTGCTGCTGCTACCCTTCTGTCCTTCTGGGTGCAGTCAGAGGTGGGTGTGTTAGACACATCACTTCGAAAAAGCGGACTGGAGAAATCCTCACCTCAGGAGTATGCCTGGCTGGTTTCTTTGAGCCCTGAAGGTCTTACCTTCCCTGCCAGTTGCACAATCTTTGCTCCCTCCTCCTCTGAGTCTGCTTGTGCAAGCCTGTGAGTAGCTGGAGGGAGGACCCAAGCACAGCCCTGCTTACTCCCTGCGCCACCTTGGCAGCAGCTCATCGCTGCTGCAGCATCCCTGGTCCTCAACAGCATGTGTTGGCAGAAAGCTCCAGAGGCACAGGGGTGGTGGGGTAAAGGAGGAGGCTGATTTTGGGAGAACGTGTCTGTGTGTGCCTCCTGTTTGAAGGGCATTGCTTCACATGCATTGGTTTACTGCTGATGTCTGGGAGGAGGGAGGCAAAGCCAATGCACCGAGGGGCCCTGGTGTCCCAGCTACAGTGCAGCATAGGCAGGGCCCCTGCAGCCTTGTGTGCTGTGGGTCTCACTCCCCAAGCACCAGCAGCTGGGAGAAGGGATGGGGACATCCCTGCCAGGGTCTGGCAGAATGCGGGGTGACCCTGTGGTTTGGTGCAGAGCCAGCAAACCACACTGCATTGAGGCAGAGGGAGGGAGGGAGGGAGGGAGGGAGGGAGAGAGGGAAGAACAAACTTACTTTCTTATAGGAATTCAGGGCCTTGTGGGACTATGAGGCCAGGCCTTGGGGCACTTGAAAGCCAGCCAGGAGTCCATTGAGACAAAAGTCTTCTTTGATGTGCCGTGCAGTAAAAAAGGAGAGATTGTTAACCTGTGTTAGACAAATAACTCCAGAGGAGCTGCTAAGCAGGAAAGGCACCAGCTGCTTGGGCTGGTCTGTTGAGGATCCCACCTCCTGCAATGCTCCTCCACCTTCTCACCCCATGGGTGGCTGAGGGACCTCTGTGTCCCTGTATGCCATCCCCACCATGTGCCCCAAGCCTGGGTGTGTGCGGTACCCACAATCTCAGAGCCTCCCGGTCATAGTGCTGGGCGGGGGGGGCAGCGGCACGGCTGTTCCCATCAGAGACCCCAAAGGGAACAAGGACAAGCCATGCAGCTCAGGTCTGTGCAGCTCCTCTTAGGCCAGCCTTGGGCACGGTTCTGCAGCACAAGAGGAAAGGAAGGAGCCTCACAGACTTGCGGTTGTCACTGGCAGAGCTGCCTCGCAAAGCCTGGGGATGATGAGCTGTGTGGGCTGGTGATACACCACAGCCATGCTGGTAGTATCTGCAACAAGAAAAAATTGGCACCTAAAACTGCTACTGTGAGCAGGGAGTGGAGCTTATTCCTAGAGACAGCCTTCAGCAATCCGGCTCTTGAGGGCCTGCATTTGCAATCCCCGATTCTTATCTGTTCCGCCTGCTCTGTGAGCAAGGTGACACCTCCCAGCTCGCCTCCAGAGTCACCGAGTCTCGTAGCACCTGCCGTAATCTCCCCCAGTGAGTGCCGGAGTTTAAAATAAAGTTCCATTTCCTACACGGATTGAGTGTCAGGAAGGACCAGGGGCATCCATGCACAGCAGCATTCGCACACAAATGCATTTGGCTGACAGGTGCAGGCATTAAAAACCCTGAGCTCTGGCTGCAAGTCCTGGGAATTGCAAATGATCCCTTTTCCAGTAAACGTGTGTGGCACAAGGCAGGGAAGTGCTGCAGAACCTCTCTGGCACTGGGCTGTTGGTCCCACTCTTCCTCACGCAGCAGGAGTTGTCAGAAGGCATCTTCATTTCGCAGCTATTCAGTGATCCCTGAATTATACAAGTCTCTCTCGCTGTGCATTCATCACTGATGCCTCTCCCTTCTCCCTCAGAGACTGAGGAAGTGATGCCTGGGGATGTGAAATCTGCTTTTTGCTGCAGGCGGACAGCCAGATCTGTGGCAAGATGTGACAGTGACAGGGACGGAGCGGGGCAGAGAGGCTTGCTCTGACTCGAGCTCTCTGGTGGATCTCGCTGCGGAGGTTTAAGATGCTAGTGCTGTCTGCTCTGTGGCTATCCCAGCAGGTGTCTGCCCCGTGACTCAGGCTGCAGCAGCCTTCAAGGCACCATGTCCTAGTTTAAGTCACAGTATCAGCGGGTGGGCTAGCAGGACACTCCTATTGCCCCATTAGTAGAGGCGAAGGGCGGGTGGCCAAGAGACAGGCACGTGTGGGAGGTTGCCAGGCTCAAGCAACCATGCAAAAGTGGCTGCAGGTTTAGGCTAAAGCCCTCAGGGTTTAAAAGCCAGTGTTTAACCACCTGCCTGGGGGTTTTCCTCGGCTCCAAGTGGAAGGGAAATGTTCTGCAGTGAACACAGGCAGGGAGAGAACAGTGGTACACTAGAAGGACCACACACATGCCACTTACTGCCCATAAAAACCCCACATGAAAATCCCTGCGTTTCACAAGCACACGGGCCAAATTCTCCTCTCAGTTACAGGGGCATGTGTAGGGCTGCGGCTCAGATGGCATCCAGCACCCGGCTGAAAGAGCAGCTTTTCTGCATGAGTAGCCCTGAATGAAGAGAGCGAGGAGCTAAGCAAACACTTTGGCCAGTACTTTCCTCGTCTCTTTTTCTAGCCTTTCGGAAGTACATTTTAATCAGTGCTTGCTTTCCCACACCGCTCCTTTGTAGTCTTGAGAAGTGCTGTCACTAGGGCCCATACAAGCCTAGTGCCGGAGTCAAATTCCCAAGAGATTGATGGTGTTGCACCTGCCTGCACAAACCCTGAATTTGTCCCATCGTCCGATGTCTGCAAACCTGCTTACTTCAGGTTTTTTTTGGCACTGGTACGCAATGACATCCTGACTCCCATGTGTTTCTTCATCCAAATGAGCTCCTCAGCCCACCACCTCAAAGAGCCTTTCATGTCCTCCCTGCAGCCTTGGTGGTTTCAAACAGGCTCACGCCGGAGCAGCCTCAGCTGCAAATGTCTGTCTTCTCCTCCAACCCCAATCTGTTTTTTTCCTTTCTGAAGAGTATGCAAATGGTGTATATTATTGGGCCACTGTGGTTTGAAAACACACGCGCAAGCACACGCACATACACCCCATATCTGACAAAGCCCATTAGGGAGTTTCATAACGGAGGGAAATATTGGGAAGCTTTTATCAGATAATGTAAGGGAAGTCTGTTAAAACGCCTTTACTGCAAGCAGCAGGAATGAGAGGCCACCTGGAGAAGCCATACAGCACCGGAGAAGGAAGCCTTGCTGGCTGCTTGCACAGCGTTTGGGGCTCTGCTGCACAGCCTGGGCATTTCTGGGCTTTGTCAGTCACCCAAACGCTTTGTGGGAGTCAGTGACAGGGGCTTTTGCTCTTGCTCAGGTTTCAGGCTTGTGCCTTTATGTGGGCATGTCTTTGGTTCCGTCACGCCTCCCCCATGCTCCTTCGACTCCCCCAGCTCCTGCTCCATGACACAGTCAGTATTCACAGGTTGCCTCTTTAATGCTTGTTTCTCACCTTCTTTCCTCTTTGTCATCTGGCAGGGGGACCCCATACCTGAAGACATTTATGAGATTTTGGGTGACAGCTCATTGCGCTCCATCAGCGACCTCCAGCGCGCCCTGCAGATAGACTCCGTAGGTAAATCTCCTCTTCACCAAACACTCCTCTATTTTTTCTTAACTCTTTGGTGGGGAGGGAGGGGGTAGTCTGTTTTCATCAGACATCACTATAAATATAGGAACCATTCAGGAGCCTGGCTATCTACACACCCAAAACCCCCAAAAACCTGTGGGAATTAGGCAACTAGGAGCTCTTCTAGATCTCCTAACTGCTTGGCCCATCGAGGGACACTGGCTTCCAAAAGCAGTAGGAGATGGGCATGGTGAGTGCCAGGAACCGAGGTCAGCACTTTTCACCCTGGGAGATGCGCTAGCATCTGAGCTTGAATTAGCCAAGCATCAGTTTAGGAGTTAGAGAAATGGGAGGTAGAAATAGGGTGATAGAGGAGCAAAGAGCTGAGTGGGTGTCCAGGGTTAGCATCCACAAAAGGCCATAGGCTCCCAGAAGCTCTTAGGACAAGCATGTCAGAGCACGTGTCCATGGGCGAGATATGGCACAAGGGGCTAACTCAGGGTAGCGTCGCTCCCCTTCTGCCCACAGATAAGAGTTGTGGGGTCTGCCGTGCCTCTGGGTCACTTGGGCAGGGCTGAGTGCAGCGAGTGGCAGGAGCAGTGGAGCGCAGAGGGGTCGGCACGTGTGGGAATTGGAGCACACGCTGCAGCGGCTGGGCTGGCCCAGGAATTTATTTATAAACGGTCTCTTCAGAGCAAATTCCTTTCTATTCTAACCCTACTCCCGCCCGTCAGCCCCCGGCCCCCCCCAGCTCTCCTTCTCTCTTGTGTTTTGTCTGTTTGGAGCTTTGTAATCCTTGCCGAGACACTATCTACGGGGGAACAGAATTTCCTGCTTTTGTTTCCTATGCCAGTCCAACCACTGGCGCAGTCTCAAAAGCATTCCCGCTGCCTTTCAAAACGGCCCTGGAGGGGCAGGGGGGGGAAAGCAAGGGGGAGGGCACCAGCTGCATTCAGCTATTGTTTGCCTTAGAAAGAGGCAATGAGGCTCCCCACCACAGCCACGGCCGCTCCCTGCCCTCACCAGTTCCCTCCTCCTCGTCCATGAGCCACACAATGGGGCAATTTCCAAAATTAGCTGTGCTGGATTGTCCTAGGCTGGTCCCCTCCACCCCAACTGTCTTCAGTGCTGACCTGGGGTGTAGTAGAAGGACAACCTGGAAGAGGGAGGGAGGGACCTGGTTTTCCATAGGAGATTTGTTTCAAGTCAACAGTTGTTGCTGTTTTCCCCCCTCTCCCTCCTCTCATCAACTCAACTTGTGCACAAAAGGCAGCCCCCACCCTCGTTTGATGAAATGCCAGGCAGAGTAGGGAAGGAGCGGCTGAGAAGATGCGTGCAGTCTGTCATGTCCCGGTGTCTAAGGAACAGATACGTCTCTATTGTGGATACCAACCACCATCAGAAGGAAGAAATAAAATGGGCTTCTCTTCTTGGACTGGGAGAAGGCTGCAGAGCTTTGAGCCACTGGTTTCACTTCAGGTCCCAGATGGGAAAGGCTGGTCGGGGAAACAGAAAATAAATGATGCTGTGAAGCTGCCTCTTTGTTGCACCCTTTGGCTTTCATCTGCTCCCAGGTAGTGACCAAGGGGCATCACCACTTGCTTGCCCTCTGTGCAGTTAGTGTCTTAGCAAAACAATCCCAAAGTGGCTGGACTTTCTCGCTGTGCTGTCAAGGCACCCTGTGTGTGTCATAGCTGCTGTCCTCCACTGCCTGCACAGGGAGCCAGGATTAGGTAGCTCCAGAAGGCAGATGAGCTCTTCTGTCCTTAGACACTACTGTAGACCCATGGGTGTAGAGTGGGGTTCATCACCCTTAAATGTGGCTGCCCTAGAAGCATGCAAGCCCATCTAAGCCAGTCATCCAGACAGCCTCCGTAGCCCCTAGAGAACTACTGCCCTTCTAGTGTATGATCCATCAGATCTCATTTTGGGTGTCTGCCTCAGGGCAAGATGAATGGTGTCCTAGATCTGATCATACCTCTCCAGCTGCTTTAAAGGGTGTCTGTCTGTCCACCTCATGTGTAGACGTGCTCATGCACATGATTTCTGCCTTGTGAATACAACCCCTGTGCACTCATCCCAAATCCTTCAGCAATTGCTTCAGAGCTGAGTGGACAGCAAAGTCTCTGCTCCCCCTTATAAGAAGCTGCACTAGGGAAGGGCTGAGGAAGAGGAATGGGACATGATAGGTATGGGAAGTCTGCTCCAGCACACATCTGATAAACAGAGATCTTCCACTGGCCCCATATTCCCTTTAAGAAAATTGCTCCCTTGATGCTGACGTCCATTCAGCTTCCTTCAGCTGCTAAAGCAGGTCAGAGAAGGAAAGAACTGCGGCTGGGTGGGAGCTATCTCTGAGTGCAGCCATTGTCTGGAGCTCAGGAGGGGCTGTGTGTTGGAGTGCTCCATGGGGATTATGGGCATTTCTCTATTCACCGCTTCCTATGGGAAAAAGCAGTGGGGTGGGAGGGAACTGCTCAGGACTGGCCTGAATGCTATCGGTCTTCCTGTCCCATCACTGACTAAACTACCTCCAGATCCTGCAGCTTACCTTAGAGTGGTGGTGGTGGGGGGAAGTAATTTTAACTTTATTTTTCAGTTCTTCTCTCATAAAAGTGACCCTGACCTAGAGCGGCTGTGGTGGGTTGGGAGAGAAAAAGCAAGCGCCCCACCTCTCATCCGTCATCCCCTTCACTTCCCCTTTTACCCCCCAACTCTCCCAGTCCCAAGCCATGCCAGCAAGGTACCCCAGTGTCACACACCAACCTTTCAGCTGGTCCCATCTAAACTTTGATCCTCCTTGCTGTATCCTCGTCTCAGCCAGCTGATCCGAATCCCTCTGCTACTCCTCTCTGACACCAGATAAGCCCTGCCATAGAGCATGGCATACTTGGGCTGGAGTTTTCCTCTCCCAGACCTGACTGGGATCCCTCTTTCATGATAGGCTTCTTGCTTTGAGCTGGACAGTCTGAGCTAAGTGCAAACCGAGAGTGTCCATGCCCAGCACAGCTGTGACCTTGCTGGTGGATTTACACCTAGTGTGACGTCTTGGGGCTGTGGCTTACCTAACTTCTCTACATGTTGTCTGATGAGTAGAGCACAAGTGCCTGCTGTCTTCCCCTGCCTCTACCCAGTTCTATTAAGTCGTGTCTTTCCCTTTGCAGAGCAAGATAGCTCGAGCCTGAACCTGAGTACAACTCGGCCTGGTCAAAATCCAATGGTCCTGTCTCGAGAGCGACGAAGCCTAGGTGAGTTGGGGTGCACCTTGTGGTTGTTGGGGCACTCACCTGAGCAGCTGTAGGTGGATGCAGATGCATGTCTTGAGATACACATGTGGTGTTTGGTGTTACAGTGCGACTGGATGTGTAGGCAGACAAGAAGGAGGGTCTGGGCCTCATGTAGGAGCTGGGTGTTACACCCCAGGAGGGCAGGAGAGGGAGTCTGGAGCTCTGCAAGCTGCTCTGCTTTAAATCCTGCTGGTGCTGATTTTATCTACGGAAGAGTCATCTCCTGCTGAGCTACTGGGGCCTCCTCCACAAGGTGTAGCTCTGTCCAGGGAGGGAACTGGAGGAGTGGGAGAGAGAACGTGTATGTGTAAGAGCCATGTGTGGTCTTTTCCTTCTAGTAGAGGTGGATGCAGCAGGCTGGTAACAGCAACAAAGCCTGTTTCATCCCCACTTCTTCTGGCCTCCCGCAGATGCTCTGGCAGCAGCAGAGCCGGCTGTCCTTGCGGAGTGCAAGACACGGACCGTGGTCTTCGAGATCTCCCGCAACATGGTGGACAGCACCAACGCCAACTTCGTGGTGTGGCCACCCTGCGTGGAGGTGCAGCGCTGCTCCGGGTGTTGCAACAACCGCAATGTGCAGTGTCGCCCCATGCAGATTCGTGTGCGGCATGTCCAGGTAAGGGAGACACTTCTTGCTGCTCCCTCCTCTCGCAGCTCACCTCCATCCTTATCCTCCAAAACCCAAACCAGTGTGGGTCTCAGGCTCACATATCTGTTCCCTTGCACCGCTTCTGTGGTTACATCTCCTGCATTAGCCACGCAGCGCTGCAGCCTCTGGTGCGGGGTGACATCCCCTCATGCCAGCCACTGGGACGGCTGGTGCTGTCCAGCAGCTGGGGACTGTCACCACAGCAGAGCTACAGGGCACCGTCCCAAGATGCAGCTCCACACTGTGGCTATTTCTGGGGCTCGAGGCAGCCTTGTCTGCTGTGTTAGAGCAGAAGAAACAGGATGCTTTCTTCGTGGGAACTGGTTTTGATGCAGAAAGAGGAGGGCTTTGCAGTTCAGTCTCCATCCCCCTGCTGCTGCTGCAGCTTCTTCCCAAGACATGCACTGGAGCAGCTCCTCCTCTTTCTCAGCCCCACGGTTGCCTCCTGACCCGCTCCAGCACTAAGCAGACACCTGATAGTTAACCTCTTGCTCTGATCCTTCCCTCCTCACAGCTACCAGTGATCTCCTCACAGTTTCCTCCCAGACAGCTGGTTTAAAAATAATATTCATCCCGTACTAATCCTCTGCCTGAGCCATAAGAGACTCCCCCAGGCAGGCAGGCAGGCAGCAGAGGTTGGCTGAGAGAGGTTGTATTCACACAGCCCTTTTCATCAGGAAATTCCTTTCTCAGAAAAGCCAGGCCGATTGAGGGAAAAATGTGGGGGGGAGCAGGAGTTGTTTTTGTGGAAAAAACAAGTGAGAGGTCAAAAGGCAGCCTGAAAGAGTGACCTGGAAATGGTTTCTTTGAGGACAGAGGTCTCTCTATTGTTTGGCTGGAAGTGTTTGTCTAGCGAGCAGCGTGTGGTCTGAAGCGTGTGGAGTGGGCTTTCAAGGAAAGATAAACAGGCCTGGCTGCTTCTGCGCTGGCTGAGGGATACTGCTGGGGGCAGTGGGTTTGAGGAATTCCATCTCAGAGCAAGTATTTATAGCTCGTGGAGCACTTCAGGGACCACAGTCTCACCAGATAAGCTGAGTGGGGTCAGCCCCGCCTGCTCCTGCAGTGGGAGGAACCCCCTAGAAAGCTTGTGCCCTGTGGTGGGATGTGGAGCAGTGAAGTCTGTCCTCTGAGTCAGCACTGGTGGAGAGTCCGAGGGAATTTCCAGAGAACTGCCTTTCCTGTGAAACACGGAGCCGAGGCCTTCAGCCCTGCAAGTTATTAAGGAGCGTGAGACAAATTCAGACAGGCCTCAGCAGAACTGGTGAAGCTGCGCTTGCTTGCATCGGGCCTGAGTTTTTCTCCTTTTGCCCTTCCTGTAGGATCCTGTGGGAGTTAATTCTGGTTGCTCCCATGTCCCCACCATCACATCTGTCAGAAACAAGCTGGTGTGCTCTGCATGTCCCATGTGTCTGTCTGGTGATCCACCAGTCATCCAGCTTAAACAGTGGCGATAGTTAGGAACAGGGGAGAACAACCAGTCACATCCAAACTTGTCTCGTCTAGGTCTGCTCTACGCTGGTGTGTGCAGAATTAGCTCCCATACACACCACCCCTGAGTTTGAACCGTGCTCTATAAACTGCCTTCTGACCCTCTCGGAAGAAAGCCAGTAGTGAAGTGCACCAACACTGATTATTTTACCAGAGTGGGAGCTGAAGTTTTATAAATCTCTTGCTTGCTTCTCTCTCCCACATAGGTGAACAAGATCGAATTTGTCCAGAGGAAGCCAAATTTCAGGAAAGTCGTTGTGCCTTTGGAGGACCATGTGCAGTGTCGGTGTGAAGCTGTGTCCCGTCCACCCCCCAGGAACAGCCGGCCAGTGCCACGTGAACAGAGACGTAAGGATCCTGGCATGGGTAGAGTGGAGGGAGGCGTGATAAGAGGCTGGGGGGGAGAGGAAAGAGCCCTCCGCTGGTTTCAGTCTGCTAAGCTCCAGTGAGTCCCATGGGCTGGTTTATACCAGCTGAGGGACCTTTCCCAGGATGTGTGCCTGCCAGCAAGGGGCTGAAACTGAAGGAAAGGAAGGAGCGGAAGGTGAGGGGTGATGGGAAGGGCATTGTGGGAAAAGTGAGAAGCAGACTGCGGAGAACAGAGGACAAGGGACAGAAGAACAGAAGGAGGCCTTGTGGCCCTCCTGTTGCAGAGCTCTTTATTGATATCTCGTGGAGAAAGATATTTCAACATGAGCCCTGCCCCTCTCTGTACAGACATTCTCCCCTTGTCTTGGCAGGCTTGTCACCGTCGTTCACCACAGCCGCTGTCTCACAGAGGCAGCGAGTACGCCGGCCGCCAGCACAGAAGAGGAAACATAAGAAGTACAAGCATGTCAACGCTAAGAAAGTGCTGAAAGAAATCCTCATAGCATAGAAGTGCTGGCAGGGGAGAGAAAGCACAAGGCAGGTAACAGCAAGCTGCTTTTCCAGTCAGGGGAGATGTTCTCCTGGGACACAGCTCTGCCCAGGCATCTCAGAGCCCTCCTACAGCACTATCTGCTTTCAGCGTGGGGCTGCTGCAGGGCCTGGGCACAATAAAGCCCAGCTTGAAGGAGGGAGGAGGATTAGGCTAGGATCCAACGTGTGCATCCTATTTATGGCTTTATGGATCTTTGCAAAGAAGAGAGGTGGAAGCATCATGCTGCAGCCACACTTGCTCTCAGGCCCTGCCCTCTCCTTCCCCTGCCTCCCTTACAGGCAGCCTGCAAGGCTGACTTCTCTCTACACCTAAATCCCCTTGGGGTCCGTGTAATTCATCTCTTCTGTGGAGCAACTCCTGTTCTCCTTTCTTTATTGATTCTCTGTTGAAAGCAGACAATTAATGTTGCTCTGGGGATCCCTTTTCCTTTTATTTCATTAGTTGTGTTGGCAGAAAGACTGGAAAGCAGCAACACTTCTAGTTCCTCTCTCTCCTAGCGGGAAGGCTGTGTGCATAAGAAAGGTCATACCAGGGGAAAGGAGAACTGGAATCTCTGGCAAGAGATCTGGACTTCGTCAGTCCAGGGTCTGATTCTTCTCTCCCTGACTTGTGTAAACAGGAGTAATTCCTTCGTCAGTAGAAGAATGTCACTGGTACATGGGAAAGGAGAATAATCCCTGGTTCCCTATGAGAGAGCGAAAGGAGCAGAAAAGAGGGATAGAGTAGCCAGGGCACAGCCGTAGGGAGGAGGCTGAATTTACAGAGAGGCAGCACAGCCTAACAGGGAAAGCCCTAGCCCATGACTCAGCAGTTCCAGCTCTACCACAGATCCTTGTATGAGCTTGGGCCACTTGTTTCGCATTCACTTCCCCTTACCTCCTCAAGAGGGGGGACAGAGGGGCTTCCACATGTGGTATTTCAGGAGACTAGGGGTGCCAGGCAGTGCCTTAGGATTGGTATTCTCACACTTAACACTACAAGGCTCTGATTATCCCAGAATCCTCCTGGACAGCCCGAAGTTCCCACGTTGCAAATCCAGGCAAATCTCAGCTGTGGCTCAAGCTGTCCAGGAGATAAAATAGAGATGGTCAAAAGCCCTCCTGAGCTTCTAATCTGGTGCTTCAACAGAATAATATGCAGAGGAGAAAGCAGGAGAGAAGGGGAGTTGGAGGGGAGAGGGTTCCATGTTTTAACGCGTGTTTTTGTTTCATTTCCAGGTTTATTTAATATATTTGCTGTATTGCCCCCATGGGGTCCTTGGAGTGATCACTTTTCCTCTTTGTCCGTCTGCCTCGACGTCTGATTCAGACGGCAATTGGTGCTTCCCGTTCCAGCAGTGGACCTTCTCCCACCAAAGCCTCTCCCTTCTTTCATTTATTAGCATAATTTTAAAGTTTTACACACACAAACAAGGACAAACAAGATCTATCTATCTATATATATATATATATGAGAAAAGAACAAAGTACAGATAAACCCATGAACCCCGACAGCCACAACATGCGATGAGGACAGGACAATGCCTTCCCCGCTCCAGAGGACAGGATAGAAAATGCGAAAAGGAAAGTGGGTCCAATTTCTTCCAAGGGAAGGAGAAAAACACATGGACAGAGGGCAGAAGGGGAATGTTCTCCTTTTCCCTCGTGTTTCTGGTAAGGCTGGGGGGCCTGGCTGAGATCAGCGCTTGCACTGGACCTTCATTTTGCAAACAGGCATATCTCAGATTGCGATGGTGGAAAATGCACTAAGGACTTTATCACCCTACCTGGACAGATCTATATATTTTTAATGTGCGTGTGTATATTTTATTTTAAGAAAAGGAAAACCAAAACCACTAAGATATACAACATCTCGGGGAACAGAACACAAAAAGAACCACAAAGCAAAACAAAAGAAGCCAAAAGCATTCCCCCCTTCCCTTTCCCCTCCGGCTCCTGGTGCTGACTGGAAGGTGTTTGGATCATGGGGAAGGAGTGGACAGCAGCAGGCCCCTGACAAAAGGGGACCCATCTTTGCACATGCTGTTTGAGAATTCAACTTTCCAGGCTCGGACTTTAAAAGTATTTTTTCAATTCACTCTGTATGTGTGCGTGTGTACATGTGTGTGTGTGTGTGTATATATATATATACGTGTGCGTGCGTGTGTATGTGTGTATGTGTATTTATACATCCATATATAAATATATATATATGTTCTTCAGCGGATTTTATTCCCCAGCGGCAGGAAGCTCAGAGGCACGCGCAGCGGCTTGGCTGGGCTGGCAGGAAAGCGTGCTGTTACTGCAACGTGCCTGCGAGGGCTGGGACGGGACAGGCAGAGGCATCATCTGATCTCTCATTGCCCTTTTCTCTCCCTCTGCACCAACCCCCCCTTCTCCTCAACACAAGTTCCTTGCAGGAGGCGAAGTGGCATCACAACGAGACCAACAACAGCCAAACTTAGAAGCATGACTTAATCTCAGTGAGCTGTCCTTGCCTGTTCTGTGGTCCTGAGAGCAGCATCATGTCATTCCCCCGAGGTTTTTAACCCCTTCATGGGTGTCCTGCACACCGTGCCTCCCCTGCTCTCTCCCTGCCAGTGTCCCTGTATCTCCCATCTTCCTTCTCAAATTTCTTCTGGATTTTTGCCTGTTTGATGTTCCCACCTAGCTTGGAAGTTTGTCCGAGATGTGGGCAGCTCTATGTAGGTATTGAGAAACAAATGAGGATGGTCTTTGCAGTTGGCAGCAGCCATCTGAGAGAGAAACGAGCTCTTCTAAGTGAGGAGGACTCAGAAAACAGCAGGAGGGTCAGTTGTAGAGTCCCTCCTGCGCCACTGCCTGCTCCAGAGGAGGGAGGAGGACACTGGGGACAAGGGCTATTTCTGCACACCTGGTAGTCACTGTTAGCAGACATGTTACGTGGGATGGGAATTTCCAGCACTACCGCAGAAACCCAGTCTTGGATTGTGCTGTGCTGGGCGCTGCAGTTAGACATGAAGAATTGCCTGCCCACAGCTCCGGTGGCAGCCCTTGTCCCTCCTGCTCCAGCCACTTCTCCCGCACACCCAGGCAAAGCCCCGGGCAAGGAGGAGAAGCCACAACCTGGGAGCTGTTACAGGTCACCCAGCCCTCGCCTCCTGCAAGCCCAGAGCACTTCTCAGCGCATCTCACTGATGCGGCACGTTGCTCCCTTCCTCCACTCCCAAGCCCTGAAGTCTTAAGACACTTTGTTTTCCTGTTCCAAAATCTGTTTCCTTTGGTTTGTAAAGATGGTAAGGTTTTATTTTATTTTGATTTCCCCCCCCCCTTTTTTTAATGTAAGATTAATTTATACTCAGTGCTGTATTTAAAGTTGTAAAAAAAAGAAAAAAAAAGGAAACAAAAAAGGAAACCACCTCTCAGACGATGTTCTTTCTTTCTTTTGCATGCTGAATGAAATGCAGAGGCTAAACCAGCTCCCCAGGGCACAGAGTGGGATTCCCAGGGCCTCCAGTTTCATTTTCAGGATGCTTATTGCAGAGATGGCAGAGAGAAGCAGCCAAAGCTGGGAAAGCCCTGGGAGCCCAAAGCCAGCGGTGCTGTGCTCCTACTTCCTGCCCATCACCCAGCTCTTGGGCTGGTTTGAAACAACTCAGGCGCTGGGGGTTTTGTCTTGAATTGGACCCCTTCTCCTTCACTGCTCTGTTCGGACACCCAGACAGAATCTCCCTGCGCTTTCATCCTATCTCCGGATTCCTCTGCTTTGAAGGGCTTGGGACAGCCAGCAGTGTTTACACTCCCCAAAGCTGTACAAACAGTCGGCCCCTTCCCTCCTTAGTCACATCGTCTAGACAACAGTGCTCCTTCCCTTGCTCGGAAAGGCTCGTTTCCCTTTCCTCCCAGCACGGAGGGTGCCGCATATCTGGCATTGGCTGTGGGGAGTGAAGGCAGCTGCTTTCCCGTGCCTCAATTCTGGGGTTCCCCTGGCACACACACAGTATCCCCAATACATGGCTCAGCTCTGAGGAGCGTAGACCTAAGTGGAGACTTGTGCTGGAATGGTGAACCCGGGGAAGTCAGAGTCTGGGTGTGCTCCAGGCTGTCCTCGCAGGACAAGCCTGGCACTCCCAGGTGTGTGCTTTGCTCCAGGTGACCCATTTTAGGGTGAGCGCATGTTTTCCTTGATCTTCCAAAGGAAGCTGGTGCAGGGGTGAGCTCTATCCACCCCCAAGGACAGAACACACAGGCAAAATCACAGCGAGGGTAATAATGACATCCCTGCTCCGATTTTCTTAGGATAATCTAGTGAAAAGCAAGATTTGTTTGACTTGAGACTTCTTTGGCTTGATGGCCTGTCAGCAGGGAATCTGTGAAGCAACGTGTGCAAAGAGGGATACAAGCCACAGGAAGCATCATCTTGGACCGAGGGGCTGGCGGAAGGGCTTGGCATCCCAGGGGACCAGCACACCGCCCAGCCACGACAGTCCCAAGGGAAGCATGCAACCCCATCCACAGGCTTTCAACAGCTTGAAATGAAGAGGTGCTGAAAGGGAGCTCACACCTCCACAGCGCCTGGCGTCCGCCTGGAGCGTGCTTGAACGCCGCTTGCTTGCAGCGCACTGGCGCGCGTTCAGCACAGGTCAGTGTGGGGCGCGGGGAGGCGGGAGCAGGAGGTTTGACAACGACCCCACAAAGCCAAGCACAGGAAATAAACCCCCACATAAGCCCCGGGAGGGCTGCAGCATCTCCTCCATGCAGGGGTTTCAGATAGGCTCAACCAGGGCTACAGGTGATCTTAGAGGCACCAGGGAGCCTTGGCAGCTGTCCCTGGTTTAATTGCTCAGCTGCAGCTTTACCTGCAGGCCCAGCCTTGGGATGTGTCATTCAACAGCAGGTTCATCTTCCGATGGAGGAAACGCACCCAGCCTCCCAGGCAGCAGAGAGAGGATTCAGAGAGGGGTCCTACTGCTCCCGAAAGCAGCAGGCAGATGGGAGAGTGAGCTCATGGGCTATCCAGGTGCAAAAAGAAAATCCTTATGTGTTCAAGCCAGGCCTTGGGCTGTTAAACGTTGTCAGTTTACAATGCTAAAGCTCTTGCATTGCTAAATGAAGTGAAAAATCATTTTGTAAGAGCTTCCTTGCGGGCCAGAGAAAACCCTTGACTGTTTGCTTATTTTATTGGCACTTGGGAATACAAAGAGCTTAAGCTCACCTCACACTTGGCTGTGTGGAAGGAAGAGCCTTCTTCAGCCTAGCCATGTGGCATGAAGGCCACAAAGGCATTCTCCTCCCTGTGCTCAGCTTGTGCCTCCCTGCCGTAAGCCATGCCCTGTCCTGCTGACCAACCTGCCTCTGCTTCAGACACGGCTGGAGAGGGCTCAGTGGAAGCATCACCATCCTGCTGGATCCCAGTCCTGGTGGCCCCATCTCACTGTCCATGCACCAGTGCCTGGGGGTGGAGAAGCCAGCTGTGCCAAGGGAAAATCCGGGTACAAAGAGGGAGGAAAATAGGAAGAATTAAAAGCTACTTAGGAAGAAACCCAACAAACGCCCCTTGCCTGAGCATGCAGCTGTTCTCCCCTCGCCTTCACACAGCCTGTGACCAAATGGTGTGGCCCCCCCAAGGGCCTTGATCCATCCGTGACCAAATGAACTTGTTGCAGGCTTGGGAATTTCCCAACTTAAAAGACGTTGTGAGGAAGCCAGGCAGCCTTGGTTGGTTTTGGCTTTCATTGCAGGGTTAAAGGAACAACAGAGCCCCCCCCCCGCCCCCAAAAGAGCAGAGAGAGGGTGAGAACTGGAGCAAGCCCCAGATGCCGGGGCCTCCCTTCAGGTAGTACAGGCAATGTGAGAGCCCCAGTCACAGCAGTGAGCCTGTGGGGCTTTTGGCAGAGGAACCAGGAGGGAGAAGAGACCAAACTACAGCATTCTGGCAGGGCTCACCCTCCCTAAGCCAGGCAGATACCAAAGGGGACTCTGGCAAGATGGACTGCGTTAGTTCCACAGCTGGGAGGAGAGCAGACCGTAGGGAAACAACCCCCTTATAATGACTAACTCAATAAAAGGAGCTGTTTGCAAGTGATTAAGCAGCAACCCAAACACGGCGGGGACCGGCAGTGGGGAGCTTAGTGGCTTCACAGCCAGTGCTCATTTTGAAATATTTGTTGGCTTGGTTTTCCTTTTGCAGGCGCTGCAAAAGCAAAGGAGAGATGGTGCAGAGATGCTGGGCAAACAGCAGCTGCTGCAGGTCTTCCCCCAGCAGCTCTGGAAACTCCCAAGCCTCAAATGCCCTGACCTTCTGTCCTGGCCACCACTGGTTGATGCAGTCAGCAAGGCAAGCTCTGCTCTGCCATGGTGTTTTCTGCACGAAGAGCAACTGTTGCTCAGCATAAATCTCAGCACAGACTGAGGGAAGAGCAGAGGAGATGGTGTTAGCTACTGCTGGTCCCTGCAGCACAGAGCTGACTGTGGGCAAGGACATCAGACACAGAAGTAAATGAGGTCAGCGCAAGAAATGAGCGATTGAGGTGCTGGAGTGGGTCCAGAGAAGGGCAATGGAGCTGGAGAAGGGTCCGGAGCACAAGTGTCATGAGGAATGGCTGGGGGAACTGGGGGGGGGGGGTGTCTGGAGAGGGCTCAGGGGGGACCTTATCGCTCTCTACAATTACCTGAAAGGAGGATGGAGAGAGGTGGGGTTGGTCTCTTCTCCCAGGTACCAAGTGATAGGACAAGAGGAAATGGCCTCAAGTTGCACCAGGGAAGGTTTAGATTAGATATTAGGGATAATTTTTCCCCAAGAGGGTGCTCAGATGTTGGAACAGGCTGCCCGGGGAACTGGTAGAATCACCATCCCTGGAAGTGTTCAAGAACCCTGTAGATGAGACATGGTTTAGTGGTGGACTTGGGAGTCCTGGAGTAGCAGTTGGACTTTTAAAGGTCTTTTCCAACCTGTTTGATTCAATGATTCTGTGATTAACGGAGCAGGGTGAGCTCCCAGAAAAAATACCCTATTCAGGCATGCATGGAATCATAGAATCATAGAATGAGGGCTCTGGATGCCCTCTAGATGATCTAGGTGATTTTGGATGTTGCCACATGAGGGTCCAGCACGTTGTCTGCCCAGTGTACACACATGAGGTCACGCACAAGCCACACCATGCACCTGCATGAGTGCTCTGGCTGCACAAATGTGGCTGTTAAGAGGCACTCCGCAGTGCAAATGCCTTGCGGGTGTGCAGGAGGTCCTGGGGATGGCCACCTCCGTGGAGGGCATTGCACAGCTGCCAGCAGGCTCTGTGGGTGTCAGCAGGTTGGTAGGACACTCATAGAGCTGACATTTGGGCATGCCACAGTGTTAATGCTCCCGGAGGGGAGGGCAGGGAGGTTTGTTATGAGCCTGCCCATGCTGGAATGATGCCTGCAAGGAAAAGCCCTGCAAGGTGCCTGCAATGCCCCAAGCCTTGTGATGGCTGCATGTGCCTGGGTAAAGCAGGATGGGGAACAGACACCTGCCTCCTGCTCTGGTGTGGCCCCCGGAGGGCATTTGTCATGCCGGGGGTGGCGGGTGGGGGGGTGCTGCGCAAAGGGCCCTGTGCCTTTAAAGCCTGAAGAGGTGTTATTTAGGTGGAAAAAGTGTTTCAC